GTTACGTCATCGTGGGCGGGTCCGCTCATCACGCGGTCGTCGACAGAGCGCAGTGGCGTTCTATTTTATTTGAAGTATAAAATAAAGTGAATAGGTTGTGTAGACATTGATCATTAATTGATGTATTGTTATATTCATTTAGTATGCGCATTAAGTTGTTCGGAAGCAACTTTGAATTAGAAAAGGGAGCAAACTAAAGACGGTTATAATTCAAATTATATATTATCATTACAAAAATCTAATCGCTATCGATGATAGTGTGTTTAGCTCCAAATCTTTATCTGAGTCGCTTTCGTCACTATCTTCTGATGATGACCCTGTGTTCACAGTGAATTGATACTTATCCATTTGATCGTCGAGAAGATGTTCTTTTTCCATTTGTACTTGCTCATATTTTTTCACGTGGTTACAAATTTTCTTCCACTCATCTGCTCCAATTTCTTCAAACCTGCTATGGGTCAGATGCTCCACATCAGACAACCTAAATGTCACATTTCGTGGAGCAACCCAGTTTTTTACGAGAGCCCAAATCTTCTCGATTGGGTTTAGCTCCGGATGATATGGAGGCAGTCGTAAAACTTTATGCCCGTGCTGTTCCATTAAGGCATCTAGCTTGTATTTGACTGGAAATCTTCTTTTATCTTCCTGTATTTTTTTATATAGTTCGGCCTTAGTCAATGAGTTTTCACTAGGAATTTGATGTTTTTCTAGCCAGTCAATCATCTCTGATTTCAGGCTAGAAGAGGTTACATTTTTTTCTTCCAGGACATTGTGATAAGAAGCGTTGTCAACTACAAGCACAGGCAAATTTGGGATCAATTGGCTTTCTACCCATTTCATGAAGTTCAAATGATTCATGTTGTTGTGGTAGTCCCCAGATTTTGAGCCTGAAAATAAAATACATACATATATTCCAGTAAATGTAAAAATATATTGGAAATATTTTACATCATTGTAAAACAAATAATACGTGATTTAAATATCAACAAGGCGTTAGGAATAAAGCCGAATTCTCCACCAGCATGCACAATAATCATTCGTTGTCCTTTTGATAAAGGCGTTTTTAGTTCCTTGTCATAATTGTCATCTGACCATCCTTTTTTGGGATATGACTAGAATGTATATATGTTTCATCCGTATAAATTATGTTCCTGTTCTCAGCTCTATATTTCATAATTTGCTTCAGATATTCGATACGCTTCAAGCGAATTTCATATTTTTCCATGAGAGCTTTTTTATTATCAGTAGCTCTTTTTCATCTGTAGATATAAATTATATTTATAGCGTTGTAAACCGAAAACCTTATAGTGTGTATGAATACTGACCTAAAGCCCATTTGTTTCAAAAGTTTGTTCAAAACCTCAAAATTGAGTTGTCGATCTTGCATTTTTTGGTAAATACCTAAAAAATCTTAAAATGAAATATGACTAGATGCCACGGTTACAATTTAAAAACTTACATTTCAGCGAAGGTCTTCGTTTCTCCAAAATATAAAAATCGTATATGATTGCTTTCATTTCTTCAATTTGGCCTGCAGTCACTTTATCCACAACAGGTAATTTTCGTTGCCGCTTTTTAGATGGGGATGAAAATGAAAAGTTGCTTGAATATATTCCATCTCTGCTCTCTTTAGCTATTTTTTAGTACATTTACTTATATCCGTGGCAGCTAACACACGTTTCCTAAATGGGTTAATCAGTTTTAATTGACAATAATTATAAAAATCTTTTACACTCATACATACCGGTATTGTTGAAGTGGAAACTTTAATCCCTCTACACTTTCCTGTACAATGAAGTTATTGACATTGTTGATAATTTCCTTTCCTTGACTCCCAATCGCCTTTGCTTTCACGCCAATCTCTTTCACAGACATTGTTTAGATCACTGGTTCAAAACTATTAATAATTTAAATTTGAACAATAGTAAACATTTCCACTATATTGCAATCTATTTGACAATTTTTACACACGGTGCCTTGTTCAAATTAGTTTACAAACTGAACTTATGACTAACGGACAGGTTTATGTATCTGTTGCAGGTAAAATAAATGTGATTAATTACCACTCATCGTCTTAACGCTACTTACGAACGAAGGGATTTAGCAACCGGAAATTATTCCAGGTAGTTCAATTTTACCCTTGTTATTATTAGATTTGTTTCTACTAATTTTGCCTATTTATCTAGGTACTAATGATGCACTCTAGGAAATCTCATGATTGGTATAGATATAAGCGGATCACAGTCTTAGGATTAATTTAATTACTTTCAGTTGTTTGCCAACTTTGGGGCTTTACCCTTCAATATTGTGTCTATTATATGTAGGTACCTGCTCACTATTTTATATTTTGATTTATGGATCTCCATCAAATATCCACAAACCCCATTAGATTAATAATTTTCAACACAATCAAATATAAAATATGATATGGTTAATAAATAAAAAAATAAATAAATCGAACAAACGTCTCATCAGATCGCAATTGTGTCAACAATCTCAACTGACTGAAACTTGCGTATCTACATACTAAAAAACGTTCCGCCTATGGCTTACTGAGAGTGGGATGTCCCTTAATAGCGTCAACAGCAACATAATTTCTGTACATTGAAGACCACATACATTTTTAAGCTTTCTACGATATAAATATTCGCCACGATTAGAACTGGACCACATTAAGAGGGTGGTAACAGATGTCCATAAATCTTACCAGAGACTGTCACAACAATTTCCTATATTCTTATAGGGTACAATCGACGCAAGGGAGAGGGTATAAAGTGATGACGTAGCGGGCATAACCTTAGGCTGTTCGAACTCTATTAAAGAAATCTACAGCCATATTGCTTAGTCCCAGAGATTTAAGTTTCAAACATAAGATTGAATGATCTATTGTATCAAAAGCTTTACTGAAATCGATCAAAATCAAGCAACTATACATCTTATTATCACATGCTCTGAATAAGTCATCTGTAACGGTTGCAAGTGCGGTTGTAGTACTATGGCCAGACCGAAAGCCCGATTGTGTGGTAGGAAGTATATTATTAGATGTAATAAATGTTTTTAGTTGGAAAGCTACGATTTCTTCCAATATTTTCGAAAAGGTAGGTAGAATACTTATAGGGCGAAAATGAGAAAATTCTCTTGAATTACCAATCTTTGGGATAGGGATAACTTTACAGTACCTATTTCCAGCTGGACGGGAAAGTATTGTTATCAAGGCAAAAATTGACAAAATAAGTAATTATGTTACTTAGATAAGGAAAAACTAGTTGAATCATCTTGAGGTCAATCTTGTCAGTACCAGATAAATTAGATTTTATTAACATTAATACGCGCTCAATATCTTCAGTACTCACAAAACGGAATGAAAATTTATTGTTAATATTACGATCAGTTACATATTGGCTTGCATCAACGCCAGATGAGATACCACTGGAAGGAGCGACATCAATGAAAAAGTTGTTAAGTTCATCTGGGTCGTACTGCAGACCATTAATGTTAGAGGGACTTTTACGGATATTGAGATAGTCCATAGCTTTCCAAAATTCCTTAGAAGATAATTTTGATTTTGACTGTAAAAATGCTTTCTTTTCAGACTGTATTGAGAAGTTGAGCAAATTTCTTAAATTCTTATAATATTGCAGCGTCTCCTGAGTCTTATACCTCTTATACCTTAAAAAAGCTTTTTGCTTAAGCTGTTTCATCAATTTTAAGTTGTCTGTCCACCAGGGAGCTGGTCTCTTAATGATTTCAGCAGTTTTATACGGAGCATGCCAATCAAAGGCGTTAGAGATATTAATATCCCAAAATGAAATAATGTCATCAATATTTTGCATATGATAAATTGCTTGCCAGTTTATCTGCAGTAGGTCATTAACAAAATCGACGTAATCAAATTTAGACCAGTCCCGGTATGTTCTAAAAATAGGAACGAACCTATCAGCAACGAAAATCGTATTACATTCAACTAAGGAATGATCGGAAATGTCATCCATGTCAATAACAGAATGAAATGCAACAATGTTAACGTTTGAAGTAATAATAAAATCTAGGATACTACCACTGGCTGGAAGAGTCCATGAATCTATATTCTGAGACAGCTCATATTCATCTAAAAATTCAACAAGTTGAGCGGCTATATTGCTGGATTTACTAAGGTCAATGTTAAGATCGCCACCGAAAAGTTTTTCATCAAATTCTGACTTGACAAAGGTAATCGCATTTTTAAGCTCGTTGAAAAAGTTATTGACATTAGAATTAGGAGGACGATATAATGTGTCCAAACAAACCGATTTATTACTAATTTTTAGTTTTATCCACAACTGTTCCAAGTCGGGTGAGATTGATGAGTCAACTACAGAAAATGATAAGCAATTTATAATATAAAACGACACCCCGCCACATCTAGTACCACGATCCTTTCTTACCAAATTGTAGCCTGGCAGCTTAAAAGTGTCAGCGTCGACAGATAAAACTAACCATGTTTCTGAAAGTCCAACCACAGAATAGATGGAAGCACATATGAATTCAGAAAAAGAGTCAAACCCTGTAAAAAGAGAACGAACGTTAAAATGAGCAAACGAAAAACACTTCCTTCTGATATTGGCGTGATAGTGTGTTTCTTTAACATGGTGAACTCGGAATATTCTGAAAAGGTGTATGTGTAATGTATGAAATATAAGGAATGTACGAAATAAATGACATAAGAAATTACAAAAGTAGCTCTTGCTGGCGCCAGTTACAGAAATGAAATATATCTAGAAAATACAAAATATCTACATAAAGATCTACAAAAAAAAGTCCAGTATACAAAAAACATTTCTTAGCAAAACTGTGAGGTACTAGAATTCCATCTTCCACATCGATAAAGATCACGAAATGAAGCAATTCACCGTTAAATCAATGCATTCATAACAAATTATTAAATTCCAAAAAAATAATGATAAAACAAGCTTAACTGCGTTACAAGGCATAAAGTGATAAAAAGTAAACGAAAGAAAGGGTTACATAATATCATCACGGCTGGAAATACACTTTTTGGTGTCACCACTCTTGACAAACACTTTGCCAGATGACGACCAAACATTCCTTGGACCATACTTCTTCTTCGTCAGGCGTAGCAACTGATAAACCTCCTTGGTTAGGTCCTCGTAGACAAGAATATTACTGCCTTTGAACATAGCCTTGTTAGCGGACATCACAGATTGTTTTAGCAATAACCTAGTAAATATTAATAACAACACACGAGGTCCTGAGTTTCGTTCCGTGCCCTTAACTCTGAATACAGCATTAACATCCCTAATTTCACAGCTAACGTTTAAATACTGATCAAGAAAATCAATAAGAGTCTCCACAGGGTTTTCATTTTCAGATTCTGTCAAGCCTAGTATTCTAACAGATCTTCGTTTCTGCAACTGCTCTAAGTGATCAACTCTGGGCTCGAGGTTTTGTATCTTTTTGGTATTTCCAGTACAGTCAGATCTTAGTGTACCAAGAGCTCTAGACATCTCAGAATGTCTGTCATTGATTTTCTCAAACTCTACATCAAATTTCTCTTCTAACTGGGAAGTAAATGTGGCACATACCTTAGTTATAAGCCGTTCAGTATTATTTGTACTTTCACATCCACTTGTGTTATTACCAGTACGGCTTCTAGTCGCCATCACCAAGGATTTATCGGTACGGAACAAAAATAAAATGCTAACCAGCAGCTCAAATTGCAATTGACTGGATACTATCTCGCAAACCACCTATTTCTACCAAATCAAACAACTACAATACTGTGATGCACTTTTTGAGAATTTACTGTTAACTTTAACCATAAAAAAATGGAATTTTAGCAGGAGCTCACAACACACGTGTTTACACTGCCATCACCCGGAGCATTATGTGAACGTGAACTACCGGCGTGACGCAAAGTCGCGTCTGTGTTGGTGAGTGTAAGTGTTAGTAGAAGAAATCTGCCATCGCATAGCAATAACTAGGATTTTTTAATAATTGTCGGACTTACAAAGAGCAAGAGTATGAATAAAGATCAGTTAAATGCTTATAAGCATAAGGTAGAAGAAAAAGTAAATGCTCAAAGAAAAACGTAGAAGTAAAAACAACTGATACAGTCAATATGAATGATGGTTAGAGTTTGAATATCCTAAGGTTATGACAACTACGTCATAACTTTGTACCCTGTCCCTTGCGTCTATTGTACCCTATAAGAATATAGGAATTTATTGTGACAGTCTCCGGGGAGATTCATGGACATCTGCTAATGCCCTCCCCCTACAATCACGAGCACCATCTGCTGAGGTAACGAGGGGGGCTGAAAAGGAAACGAGTGTGGGCTGGCCTTAGATGGTCGTCGGCGCTACTTTAAAAGAAGAAAGGATGACTGCGGGTGCGTACCGAGGTAAATTTTTATAATAACAGAGTCGGATTTCGATTAGCGATCTAGCCTGTAAATCGTTTCCTATTTTGGTACTTAGCAAGTGATCATTTAGTATTGTGATATTGATTTGCACTTCACAGCTTACATTTCATTTTTATTATTTCGAAATGAAACTCTTGCAGCGTTCTAAAAACAAAGTCCACAGGGTGCCAGCGATCCACTTTTTTTGATTTTATCCACTAGGATCTTTTTAAAATATCAAGAAGTTGAGCACAAATAGTAAGCATTTCAATCCACCATAATTCTTGCGCAAGACCCAATTTTGTAAACAGCTCTGATAGCACCCTAGGCAATTATGTCCTGCTTATACCCAGAAAAACATCACAAACTGCAGAACACAAATTGAAGGTAACGGCGAAATGCGTACATTTCACGGGTCATGAAATTCAAATGAAAATGCAGGTATGAAATCTACGAAATTATCATTCTCAAAAACATATTTCCTTGACATATCGATAATTTTAAAGTTTCACGGTAAATTCTCCTATACTTGACTGGAGTGATATCCGAATTTATTCTTCCCTACTGTCGGTAGTTGCAGACCTGTTGGCTCGTGGTGTCAAACCTATGGAGCAGGTACCGATTTTTTGAGCACATTATTCGTCGTATTTTCGTTACTTAAATTTCCTGTAATCACTGGGATCAGAAGCTTCTTAATAATAGAACATGTTTCACTGATTCCAACCCCCCCCCCTTTTAAGCAGTACAATTTTTTATGTCAATGATTAGAAAACCCCTGAAACGTCAAAAACGGAGTTTCAGCAATTGTTACTTTTTCTTTTTTGCCTATAGCACCGTTGCCACTGGACTAAAACTACAAAGCCTTGGCATACTAGTAACCCCGTGTGGAAATTTCATAAAAATCCGAGGGGTAATTTCCAAGATTCCAAGTTGATGATCTAGTTTGTCGTGATGTAGGTGTCATATGACTTACAAAAACATAACATCTCATTTTTGAAATTTTTCGCGATTACAATACTTCCTCGCCAAACGGCTTTACAATCGAGGAGTATAAGCGATCGCGATCATGAGTACCTATTTGCAGAACGACTTATCTACGCGATATTTTATGAAATGGGGCCACCAAATTATCTGAATACGTACTTTCTTAGTCCGTACATTGCGCTGCAACGCTTGGGTTGGCAGCACGAAACAGTAGACAAAATTCGTCCAAAATACGATTTGTAGAGGTTTGCGCGCTACGAAATTGACGCTTTATTTTTTGATATTTTTGGATGAAATTTTCAGTGTGCTGAAAACAAAACCAGGGTGCTATAGAGCCACTTTTTCATTTTTTCAATAGGTTCTTTTTAAAAAAATCGCGAAGTTGAACCGAAAAAGTGCGCACTTCAACCCATCATACAACTTGAGCAAAAACAGAATTTCAACAAGTGCTCCTATAGCACCCTATCTTCTCAACATACTGTATGAATTTCATTCAAAAATATTTAAAAATGAAGTGTCAGTTTCGAAGCAGCTGAACCCTTGTAAATGGCTCACTGCGTCGGAGCCGCCTTAATGTGGTCCAGATTTATTTTAACCATAGCATATTTTGTATTTGATTGTGCTGTAATTATTAATAATCTTACGGAGTTTGTCGATATTTGGTGGAGATCTATTATTCAAAGTTGAACAATAGTAAAAATTTCCACTATATTACAATCTACATGACAAGGGTGGCTTTTTCAAATGAGTTTACATACTGAACTTATGACGGAAAAGTTTATATATCTATCTATTACAGGTAAAATGTATGTGATTACGAAATACTTATAATCTTCAAGCTACTTATTAACGGAGATATTTAGCAACGGGGATTATTCAAATCTATTTGATCGTCTAGAAGATGGCCGGTATTTTTAAGTCTATTAATTTCTAAGGATTCCAGGTAGTTCAGTTTTACACTTTTAATTTGTGTATGTAGGATTTCAAATTTATCGTCAACCCTATGGTTTTCTTCATTTAGATGTAGATATTAATTTGTTTCACAAGTACAGATAGACAACCTCACAATTTTTTAATTCAAATTGATACTATTGTTCAACTTTAAATTATTAGATAATAGTTTTAATCGAGTGATCTAAACAATGCCCGCGAAAGGGGTTGGCGTGAAAGTAAATGCAATTGGGAGTCAAGGACAGGAAATTATTGACAATGTCACTAACTTGATGATACAGGAAAGTGTAGAGGGGTTAAAGTTTCCACTTCAGCAATACCCGTATGTATAAATGTCAACGATTCTCATAATTATTTTCAATTTAAACTGGCTTAATTACTTAGAAAACGTGTGGTAGCTGGCACGGGTATAAGTGAATGCACTTATCAAAAATAGCTAAAGAGAGCAGAAAAAGATTATATTCAAGTAACTTTTCATTTTCATCTCCATCTAAAAACCGGCAAAGAAAATTACCTGCTCTAGATAAAATGACTGCAGAACAAACTGAAGAAACTAAAGCAATCATATATGATTTTTATATTTTGGAAAAAAGAAAACCTACGCTAAAATGTAAGTTTTTAAATTCTAAGTGCAGCATCTCATATTTCATTTTAAGCGGTTTTCTAGGTACTCATATTTAGCAAATAATGCAAGATCGACAACTCAGTATCGACTTTGGACGGATGAGACATGTATACATTCTAGTCACACCTCAAGAAAGGATGGTCAGATGACAATATTATAACAGGGAACAAAAAACGCCTATATCAAAAGGACAACGACTGATTATTGTACATGCTGGTTGAGAACTCGATTTTATTTCTAACGCCTTGTTAATATTTAAATCAGGTATTAATTATTTGTGTTAGATAGATGTAAAGTATTTCCAGTTACTATATATTTTTACATTTGTTGGAATGTATATCTATGTATTTTATTTTTAGGGTCAACATCTGGGGACTATCACAACGTCATGAATCATTTGACTTTCATGAAATAGGTAGAAAGCCAATTAATTTCAAATTTGCCTGATAATTCTGTTCTTGTCGTTGATAACGCTTCGTATCATAATGTCCTGGGATAAAAAATGTAACCTGTTCTAGCTTGAAATCAGAGATGATTGACTGGTTAGAAAGACATCAAACCCCGACTGATAGGTGATTGATACAAAAAATACAAGAAAACAAAAAAGATGTCCAGATAAATATAAGCTAGATGCAATAATGGAAAGACACGGTTATAAAGTTTTACGGCTGCCTCCGTATCATACGAAACTAAACCCAATCGAGAAAGTTTGGGCTTCACGAAATGTGACATCTGTTGTAGAGCATCTAACCCGTAGCAGATTTGAGGAAATTGGAGTAGACGAGTGGAAGAAAATTTGTAGTCACGTCAAAGATATGACAACACACAAATTGAAAAACAACATCTTCTCGACCCCAGAATGGAAGAGGTTCGGTTAGCTATAAACACAAGCTCATCATCAGAGGATAGTGAAGAAAGCGACTGAGATGAAGATCATCTGATAGCGATTAGATTGTTTAATAATAATTTATAATTTGAATTATAACGCTCTTTAATTTACTCCTCTTCAATTCAAATCTGCATCCGAACAACTTAATTCGCATATTAAATAGAATAATACAAAGATCAATTAAAGATTACAGTGTCTACAGAACCTATCTATCCCTTATACTTCAAATAAAGCGGAACCCCACTGCCCTCTGTCGACGGCCGATTGCTGAGCAGACCCGCCCACGATGACGTAGCCAGCATATTCTAAGGATATTCGGACTCTAGAGTTCGAACGCTCTTAGAATATGACCGCTACGTCATCGTGGGCGGGTCCGCTCATCACGCGGTCGTCGACAGAGCGCAGTGGCGTTCTATTTTATTTGAAGTATAAAATAAAGTGAATAGGCTGTGTAGACATTGATCATTAATTGATGTTTGTATTATTATATTCATTTAGTATGCGCATTAAGTTGTTCGGAAGCAAATTTGAATTAGAAGAGGGAGCAAACTAAAGACGGTTATAATTCAAATTATACAGGGTTGAGTCATTAATTTTCAGATAATGATTGTAGAAGGAAGATAAACCAAAATATGTGTGTAAAAATAAAAAAAAAATTTACCTTGTTTTATAAAGTATCCTCCCGACAAGTATTTCAGTGCGGACCTGTATTTGATCGTGAGGTCCCCTGTGAGGTCTTAAGTCACCTGATTCACGAGCCCGTTGTACTACATTAACAAAGGCACGAGGGGTTGGTTGCACTCGATTGGGA